ACATACATCTTTATGTGCTGATGTAGATAATACCTACAAAATGGTGTTGCCATGTTGCAAATATTTTTTCTCAGTTTGTCTTGTCTACAATAGGCTTGGGAGCCAGATGGCCTGAATTCAAAGATCTGCATCATGGTTTCCTACTCTTCATTACAGACAAATTCCATAATATATGTAAACTTCAGTTTCCTCCTCTGTTAAGTGGGAATAATTACAGAACCTACCTTAGAGTATAATTATAACACTTATTCAAGTAAAACATGACAAGCATAAGTGCTCAGTAAGTGTTAGGTATTATTTCCTATTAAGCAAAGTTTTGTTGTTGGTGGTGGTAGTGGTAATAGACTCAAATCTATCAATCTTTTCCTACTTCTTGATTTTAGCTTCCCTACCCGAAGTAATCCTAATAAAAGTAAATTTTCCCTCAAATAGATAGCTAATTCTTACCATTTATCATGCAATCCATGCTCTTGTCACTAGTTTGAAATGCCACCTTTATCATTAGCAAAATTCCTATATATGCATAAGTCCATTTCTGACCTCTAAACCAGGAATCTGCAAATATTTTAGGTCAGACAGTAAATGTCACAACCAGTTGATACTGCTTTTGTGGCACAAAAAAGCATTATTTTTTTTTCTCCCCAAAGCATTAAAAAATGTAGGGCTTGGGCACGGTGGCTCACGCGTGTAATCCCAGCACTTTGGGAGACTGAGGCAGGCGGATCATGAGGTCAGGAGTTCAAGACCAGCCTGAGGAACATGATGAAACCCTGTCTCTACTAAAAATACAAAAATTAGCCGGGCATGGTGGTGTGCACCTGTAAACCCAGCTACTCAGGAGGCTGAGGCAGGAGAATCACTTGAACTCAGGAAACAGAGGTTGCAGTAAGCTGAGATTGCGCCACTGCACTCCAGCCTGGGCGACAGAGCAAGACTCTGTCTCAAAAATAAATGAATAAATAAATAAATAAATAAATACAAAATAAAAAAAAATAAAAAGTGTAAAAGCCAGCCTTAGATCACAGGCTATACTAAAATAGGTAGCCAGCCATACTGGCAATCTCTGCTTTAACTTCTAAAAAATTGTTACACTTTAAAAATTTCACAAAATAAACACATGTGATAAAAAGGTTAAACATCATATAAGGACACACAACCCCAATCCCTGCTGTGAGCTGGTAGGGAAGAAGAGTGGGGAACAGTCAGCAAACCTAATACATCCTTCCATAAACTCTCAGAAAAATGCATACTTCTTGATCATCCCCACTGTATAGACGAAGAAACAGACCAGAGAGGGAAGGGTTGATCTATATTTGCCAGTCCTTTGTCCTCTGATACTTATTTCTCCCTGGCTCAGGCTGCCCAAGACTCTGCCTGGACACTCCTACCTTCAGGATGTCTGTTATCTCTGTGGTTATTTCCTCTTTTCCGATTTCTAACGCCTCCTGGAACTCCTATTAGATGTATATTGGCTCTTCTAGATCTACTTTGCATGTCATGGCTAGTCTTTCCCACTTTCTTTTTCTTTCTTTCTTTCCTTTTTTTTTTTTTGAGACAGTTTCACTGTCAGGCTGAAGTGCAGTGGCAGCCTCCACTGCCTGAACAGCTGGGATGACAGGTGTGCACTACCATACTGCTAATTTTAAAAATTATTTGTAGCCAGGTGCGGTAGCTCATGCCTGTAACCCCAGCACTTTGGGAGGCCGAGGCAGGTAGATCATGAGGTCAGGAGATCGAGACCATCCTGGCTAACACAGTGAAACCACATCTTTACTAAAAATACAAAAATTAGCCGGGCGTGGTGGCGGGCACCTGTAGTTCCAGCTACTCAGGAGACTGAGGCAGGAGAATAGCGTGAACCTGGGAAGCGGAGCTTGCAGTGAGCCGAGATCGTGCCACTGAACTCCAGCCTGGGCAACAGAGCCAGACTCTGTCTCAAAAAAAAAAAAAAAAAAAAAATTATTTGTAGAGACAGGATCTCATTATGTTGCCTAGGTTGGTCTCAAACTCCTGGGATCCAGCGATCCTCCTTGCCTCGGCCTTCCAAAGTGTTGGAATGACAGGCATGAGCCACCATACCTGGCTCTTTCCTACTTTCTATGTTTAAATATTCAAGAATTGATTGCTTTTTTTTTCATGTCACCCTGTATGTGTTCAGTAGGCATAATACCTTAACAAATTTGAAGATACTAATACTTATTTTAAAGTTTTCTTTTGTTTTACATTAGCTCCACTGCTTCAGTGCCTAGTTCTTGTATTTGTTTGGTCTGAAGTTTCTCTTAGATGCTACTGATTTCCCACAAATTTTTAGTGATTTTTGTTGCGTGTTCACATTATAAATGTGCTAGTAGTATCTCAGTCCATATGAAAATCACTGTACTCCTGCTGTAAATTCACATTTGTAACTAGCCTTATAATTCAATTTTACACTTATACCTAGTGCTTGTGTAGCATGACAGTAACAATGTTAAGTTCTTTAACTTGCAGTCCCATGCTTCTTCAATCCACTTTCAGTCATATCCTTTTGGTATTTCATTTCCTCTAAAAAACCACTAACTTGAGTAACATAGTTCTTACGTAAACGTTATGCTAAACTTCAGTCAGATCCTCACCAGCTCTAACAGACTTGTCTAACAGTTAAACAAACAATGACAGTCCGACAGAAGATGGTCATAAATGTGCAATCCAACGCATAAATAATAACATGGTAATGAATGAATCACTTACGTCTTGAGCTCTTAATAGTTATGCTTTTTTTAAACCAACCTTGAATGTTATATTAGTTAAAATAAGTAATTCTATTACATTAAAAAAAACATGACTCCATGTTGGTTAAATTTTCTGCCTTTGGTTGGTAATGGTAAGGTTGGTAATGACTCCATGTTGGTAATTTTCTGCCTATGTCATGACTCAGTCATTCCATAGCTGACAGAAATGCATACAGATGCTCACCAAGACATTTAATTTACAAGGATGTCCACAGTATTCTTTTTTTTTTTTTCTTTTTGAGACTGAGTCAGGCTCTGTCGAGCAGGCTGGAGTGTAGAGGCACGATCTTGGCTCACTGTAACCTCCACCTCCTGCCTCAGCCTCCCCAGTAGCTGGGCTTACAGGCATCCGCCACCACGCCTGGCTAATTTTCATATTTGTAGTAGAGATGGGGTTTCACCATATTTGCCAGGCTGGTCTCGATCTCCTGACCAAGTGATCCACCCGCCTTGGCCTCCGCAAGCGCTGGGATAACAGGCCTCAGCCACCATGCCGGGCCCACAGCATTCTTAATATCCAAAATACATCATATACAAAAATTGGGAACAAAAATGTCCATCAACTGAAGAGTAGTCACATATTATTCAATGGACTATTACACAATAATAATACAATACCATGAAATAGCATGGGTGTGTCTCACAAACAATATGCTGAGAATACTATGCAATCCATTAACATGAAGCTCAAAACAGAGAAAACTAAAAGCTGATAAGTTAGAATACAGATGGGAAAACAAGGATATAACTGACTTGGAAGCAGCACAGGGAAACAGGATGATGGAAATGTTCTATGGTTATAATTTGATATATCTAGTGATTCCACAGGGTAATAAGCATATAAAAATTCACTGAGCTGCACAATTAAGATTCGTGCTCTTATTGATTTCATATGTATTGTATGCCTCAACAAAAACAAAGAGAAAAATGCAGCTTCTAAACTGGTTGGAACTGTGCTTAGTTAGGCCAAAATCCTCTGAGCCACAAATATTGGAAATTCAACATCTTTTTTCATTCTTTTAGTTACATGACAACTTTAAACAAATGGTATAAGAATAATAGTACAAAATGAACGCTAACACTCAGTCCTAAAATATTTGGCTTCTTACTTCCAAGATCGAAAATACTATTTTAATACAACATTCAAAAAACATTAATTACCAGACATGAAGGCCCTGCTCCTGCGAGCCTTGAATGACGGTGAAACGTCACGACATCCCACATCTATCTCAAAAGCACGCTAGAAAATGCCTCCAAGTTTAACAAGCCAAGGGCTCAGGAAGAAAAGCTTCAGATGTATAATCAAACTATCATACCGCCAATACCATCATCACAAACAGAAGTATCACTGTCGTGCTTCCTGCGTTGCTCAATGGTAGGGTCATTTTTAAGGTGCATTCTCCGACAACACCAGAGGCTTCCCGTCTCCTCCGCCCCACTGAGCCCTCCACGACCGAGCATCTTTACCGGCGCTCGCTCTGCCATCTACAGATAAAGAGGGGCTGCGGGCAGAACTATTTTAACGCGATGACGAGGTCACCGCTGACCAAAGCTTATCCACTGAGAGGAGGAAAGATGGTGATGAGTTGGTAAAAAAAAAAAAAAGACCAACACTGACACGCGACCCAACCGTCTCTGGCTGCGCTCTCCCCAAAACCGGAGCCTACTCCGGCAGGCTCATCCCTGAGGGACAGGGCCCCCAGCAGGACCAGTCCGCGAGGCGACCCCACCCGACCAGACAGGAGCCCGCAGCCCGGGCGCCCGCACCGCCCGGGCTCGAGCCGGCGAGAGTCGCGGGCGGGCGGGGAAGGCAGGGCCAGGTACTCACCCGGCTCGCCCGCTCTGCGTTCCACCGCCTCCTGCGCAGCTGGCACACCCGACGCCTCATCCACCCACCCCCGGGCGCGCCGCAGCGCCTGAGCGGCCACTTCCGGCGCGCGCGAGGAAATGAGGCTGCCTCGCGCCCGCGGCCCCGCCCAGGAAGCTCCGCCACTGGCAGCTGGGTGTCGATTCATCACCTACGTGTTAAAGTATCTGTGTGTGTGCCTCCAAAAACCGTTTGTGGAGGCAGCAGAATGCCGGAGGCAGGAAACCGCTCCGGCCTGCAGGCGCCCCTGCCCGGACTCGTGGACCGCAGCGCTGTCCCGCCCGGGAGCCGATCCTGGGAGCCGGAGCGGGGCGGCGGGGCGTGCGTGGCAGCCGAGCCGAGGACTTCGGGCCCCGGGGCTGTGGAACGTCCTTTAGCGCTGGGCCGCCGGCAGCCGCGGGCGCATCTTTGCATTTCCCTGGAGGAGTTCCCTCATCTGTTAAAGGAGGGAGTTGAGGCGGACACGCTGGGAAATGGCTTCGAGCTCACACACTAATTTTCGTAAGTGGGAAGAGAAGCCCTTTTCTAGGCGTCTTCCATGCCACTGCGTGTTCCAGGGTCCTCTCCGGGCACTCTGTCTCCCACGCCACCCCGAGCACGGCCTAAGCGGGCGAGCGAAGGCGTGGCGGCGCCGAGAGCCGGCTCTGGTGGGCACCGGGCGCGTCACTGCGGGCTGGCGGGGGAGGGGACGCTGGGAAACCCTCCAGAAAGAGGAGCCGCCACCGAGCAAATTCCCGTCTGCCACGCACAGCTGAGCCTCGCCCTCCGCCGCCAGCATTTTTTTCTTTGTCCTCCTAGTCCTACAAACGCTGGGTTTCCTTTCTCATTCATGGACTTGTTTTCTCCTTGGATACGTCTTACTGCTCCTACCCTGTGGCCGCACGTCTGGCACACGCGCGGCGGGCGCTGCCTGAATCCCTGAATCCTCCCAAGCACCTGTGCAGCGGCTACGGCCCTCAGCTAGCGGCAAGCAGACTGAAGCCGCAGGGTCAGGGTTAGTTGCCACATGTTTTAAGTTGCTCTTCGAATCTTCCATTAGAATTGTTTTTATTTATTTATTCATCTATTTTTTGATACAGGGTCCCGCTCCGTCGCCCAGGCTGGAGTGCAGTGGAGCCATCACTGCTCACTGCAGCCTCCCACCTCCGACTCCAGAGATCCTCTCGCCTCAACTTCCAGAGTAGCTGGGACCACAGGCGCATGCCACCACGCCTGGCTAATTTTTAGGGTTTTTTTTTTTTTTTGGGTAGAGATGGGGCCTCCCTGTGTTGCCTAGGCTAGCCTTGAACTCCTGGGCTCAAGCCGTCTTCCAGCTTCGGCCTCCCAAAGTGCCGGCATTACAGGCATGAGTCACCCCGCCTGGCAGTTGTTTTTAAACTAACTGAGGTTCTCCCATCAATGGATTTAAATTGTTACTTTTTAATGATTTTTTTAAGTAGCCAAATACTAAATGTATGTAATTTGTGGAGAGAAGATAATGCATGATTCAAATTATGTGGCTGATCATGAGTGATACACTGGGATATAGTTGTAAAATAAGTAGTTCCCCTAGGGAAAATATTAAAGTACAACTGTGTTGGGTTTAATATCAGAAAATATGTAATTAAAAATATTTCCCCCCAACGACTTCCAATCTGATACTTTAAAAAAAAAAAAAAGCAAACTATAAAAAGTTTCCCATCCCTTTCGGGCCTTTTAAATTTCTACCAAAAGCAAGTGATGCTGGCTGATTCCCCTGCTATAGCAAGTTGTGAATAAATAGCCTTTGCTGGTTTCCACAGTTTTCCTGGTGATCCCATGGTAAGTCTGTACTGCTTGCACCTGAGGTCCCCAGGCTTCCAACCGTTGTGCCACCCAGAGGCCCCTTGTGCCTCCATGTTCTCGGCCTATCAAGTGCACCGATGTGGTCAGCACTAGGGCTAACCTCACTCTGCGTGGAGGTCTCTGGCTTATTCTCAGTTTTGTACTCTGGTTGTTATAGATTCTCATTTGTCTGGCATCTCTAGTGGATTCAGGCCATTCTTTTTCATCCCTTTTCACTGTATTTTGTGTTAGTGTTTAGTGTTGTGCTGTCAAAAAGTGCTGCTTGTCATAAGGAAACCATAGGAAAGGACATAGGCATGGGGCTCATAAGCCTCTTATTTGAGCCAGCCTCGCAGCCCATGAGTTAGCAGTTCTCATCACACCGGCCTCTACTTGGACAAACTTTGCTGTGGGTTTCCGGTAAAACTGAATGAGGTTCTCCTTCCATCTCACTTTCATGTCCTGAGAGACACAAACATTCCATTTCTCGCCAGCCTCACCAGCCAGCATTCATGGTGTTGTCTAAGTTTAAATCTTCTCCTCCTCCAGGAAAAACTCCTGCTTCTTACATATACTCTCTTAACAATTCCAATTCTCATGCCCATCTCTGAAAAGCATTAACTTCACCAAGGTTGATTTGGTGAAGATCTTATTTGGAGAACATCTAATTGAACAAAATTGCTCATTTGAGAGATACCTTAGAAATGAAAGAGAGGCCGGGCGCAGTGGCTCTTGCCTGTAATCCCAGCACTTTGGGAGGCTGAGACGGGTGGATCACAAGGTCAGGAGATCAAGACCATCCTGGCTAACCCGGTGAAACCCCGTCTCTACTAAAAAATACAAAAAACTAGCCGGGCGAGGTGGCGGGCGCCTGTAGTCCCAGCTACTCGGGAGGCTGAGGCAGGAGAATGGCGTGAACCTGGGAGGCGGAGCTTGCAGTGAGCTGAGATCGCACCACTGCACTCCAACCTGGGTGACAGAGGGAGACTCCATCTCAAAAAAAAAAAAAGAAAGAAAAAGAAATGAAAGAGAATAAGATTTCTCAGGCCCAGTGAGCAGCCTTTTTTGATTGGTAGTCAGAGGTCTCCAAATGATATTCTGATTCAAAAGTGCTTCCCTGAAAGACTCTTTGGCTAAAGCTAATGAACGATTTGGCAAATTAAGCAGCAACAATCTAGACTCATTTTCCTAGTAAATCCTTCTCCTGCTTGTCATCCATTTGCTTCCCTAATACAGCTTTCCCTCTTCTCCCCCTTATCCTTCTGATCTCTTTCCTTCCACACATCTGTCCACACTTCCCTTCTCTTTCTCTTGTCCAGATCCCTGCCCTTTCACAACAACCCTCCTATGACCCCAGAATGCCAGCTGCCTCTCTGAAGGCCTATCCCTCCATGAGCCCCATATACAGACAAATGTGGAATTTAAACCTTAGACCCAAGCTAAATTAATAACCAAAATTAAGGATTTCCCCAAACCTGGGCAAGATCAACAACTATTCATAAAATAATTAAAAATACTTTGGCCAGGCACTATGGCTCACACCTGTAATCCCATCATTTTGGAAGGTGAATCAGCAAGGACTGCCCGAGCCTACAAGTTCGAGACCAGCCTGAGCAACATAGTGAGATCTCCATCTCTATGGAAAACAGTAACAACAACAACAAAAACCCAGGCATGGTGGTGTGTGCCTGTAGTCCTAGCTACTCGAGAGGCTCAGATGGGAGGATCACTTGAGCCCAGGAGGTCGAGGCTGCAGTGAGCCATGATTGCACCACTGCACTCTAGCCTTGGTGGCAGAGCAAGACCCTATCTCAAAAAAAGTGGCGGGGGAAGCATGTGACCCAGTGTTACCTAACCCATATCAACTTGTACACACATTGACCAGAACCTTGCATGCTAAATGGCAAAAGTTGACTAGACTCCCCCAAAAGGAATCCTAGGATCACACCGTCCACAATGAAACTGAGAGTTAACAAAGAGGCTCAAAACAGGGCAAAGTCTTCTAAAAGCCATACCTCAAACATTCCCCCCCACAAAAGAAAGATTAGACCATAATCTGGTGTCACGCAAAAAAAAAAAAAAAAAAAAAAAAAAAGATGAACCTACAGTATGTTTTTTGGGATAGGCTAGAAAATACATTGTACCATTTGGGAGTCTAGAAATTAACCCTTTCATTGCTTGTTTTCAAGGAGCTAAACCTGAAATTGGAGACCTAATCAAAAACAGAAATGAGAATGGGAAATAACCCCTTAACCTGAACTACAACACCTGGCAGACATTTTAAAAGTGCTTTAGAACAAAAATAAGACAGGACTCAAAATTAACTTGTGGCCCTGCCAAACTGCTGGGTGGCCCCTACCCAACCAGTCAGCTACTGACGAGGGCAATTATAGATACTGTAAACAGAAGGGACACTGGGAAAAAAGATTGTTCAATCTTGCAAAACAAAAATCAAGACCAAAAAAATCCCTCACTTCAGATCAATGAAGTGCACTGGGGAAAGGAAAAGCACCAATATCCTGCAATACCTTTAAACACCTGCCACACATTAACCATACATACAAATGGTGCGTTGGTTTTCCTAGGGTTGCTGTAATGATTTACCACAAACTGGTTGGTGTAAAACTACAAAAACTGTAACATCACCCTTGGTTATTCAGCACTCTAACTGGGGAGTTACTGACTCATTGTTTATGCAAACAATCAGAGCAGTGTTCTCATCTGTGGGAGTCCTGTTGTCATAAACTTATCATTAACCCTGGCAGAAGTCATTAGCAATGCCACTTCTTCACTAGATGGGGCACCTATCAGTCTCAACTCATTGGCATGAGTAGTGATGGACAGTCTCATTGCTGTAGATTTCTTGTTGGTTGGTAAAGGCCTCTGCCACTGCCAATACTGCACCTGGATCAGTGAAATAGAAAGGTACAACAGGCCACAGATCACCTTGAGGCAAAAGCTATTTGGCTTTCTAAGGTTGATCCTCATGGCCTATATGGGATTTGCTCTTTGCCTGCATTGGTCAGCTGAGGTTTGCATTCTAAGCATGTCATAGGGACAGTTGCTCTTATTTCTGTCATAGTTGTCCTGATGTTGTTCCACTGCATCCCATTCTTGTCAAATGTGCACTATGATGCTGCAACAACAGAAGGATCAAGATCTCACAGTACAGTTGACCGGAAAGACAACTGAATAATCTCTGAGCAGTGAAGAGCTGGATCTCTAGACTTCCTTGAGTCGGCCAACCTTTTACAAACAAGAAAATGACCAACAAGGGGGACTGAGAGACTGAACATGCAAACAGACAATGGCCAGACCACATATGGCCGGAGGATTTGGATCAGATTCTCTGCAGAACTAGCCAGGAAGCTAAACCATAGCCTCTGCAACAATTATCCCAGAATTAGAACTTGGTCAGGAACTACAAGCTTCCCTATTTTTTGCCCTCTGAACTAAACAGAGAAAGCCACCTGAGTCCCCCAAACCAATCACATAAGAGGCCCTCCTGGTTAGCTGCCTCCAGCTTCCCCAGGCCAACAAGCCCCAATCACAGCATCCCCGAAGCCTTCTCCTCACCCTCCCCACCTTTTATTTTTTACTATAAGGCTTTCCCACTCCGCTGCCTATCTTGAGTGTCTGCCTTAAGTGATGCTGGCTGACTCTCTTGCTATAGCAAGTTCAGAACCAATGGCTCCTGTGGGTTCTCATATGGGTAGCCTTTGCTTATTTCTACAAAGTTAAAGATTATAGGTAAATGTGTGAATATCTCTTTAAAAATAGTGTCCAACCACACTTCCTCTACTTTTTCCAGTGACTATCTTGTGAGACACTAGAGCTCTTCCATCCTTGGTGTCATTCCAATTTTTAGAAATCATTTGCTATGATCTTACTTTTCTTCCCAGACACTGAAGTCCCTCAAACCCTCAGTATGCTCCTTTACCATGGGGTTCTGAGCAATCTAAGAGCTTCAGGTCCTGTGGCCAGAGTCTTCAGGAAAATTCTCAAGCTCTTGAAAACTCCCAGAAGAAAGGCACAAAATATGGAGCAAGGCACACGCCCTAGGGAGAGTGGGTGCTGCCTGGCTCCCTGCAGTCCTCTGACCAAAGTCTCTTGCCCCCAGAGACCCCTTTTTCCATGGGAGAGTACAGAGAAGGATTGATGTGCAGGTGAGAAAATCGAGCAGCCAAGAAACAGGTGCTCTGATTCTGTTTACATTGACAAAAATACACAAAAACTTGAATGTTTTAAATGAATTTCATATTTTTATTCAAGAAATCGACAGTCTGCATGGTAAATATTGTCTGTGTATGAAATATCAAACTTGTTTCCTTCTCAAACAATGAAAAATGATTTTTTTTTTAGCTTTAGAATTCACTTACCTTGTTTGCCAGCCAGCACATTTTTAGCTTGAACTGCTCAGTATCATCTGAGAGGATGCAGGTTTATGATCTCTTTTAGTGTGGCAGTCACAGTGGCTGGGGTCGTCTTAGACCACAAGCTCCCTCCATGCTGAACTTCACATTTCTGCAGCCCCCACAGTGAGATGTGCCCCCATAAAGGATCCCCTGCCCGGGGTCCAGCTGAGAGATCTCACTTGGCCAGGTCCTGTGATTTAACACCTCAGAGACATCTGCAAAAATACCTGGTCACTTGACACAGCACTCAAATTTGTAGTTGCAAAGATAAAATGTGATTTCTCCAGGGTGTTCAGAGTGTTTGCCTCCTTAACTCCTGGGAGCAGCCTGCCCTATCAGCCCTCAGACGGCCACTACCTGGCCTCAGCAGCAGGACACAGTAGTGGCCCCACGCTGAAAAGTTCTCTACACACAGGTTCTTATGACCTCAGCTAACATGA